GCTGAAGTTCAAGTTGCCGGAGAGAGGACAGCCCAAAGCCTACAAGCAGGGCTGACTGGTCTCAGATCAGAGAAACTAATAACCATCAAACCCACTGCCTGGACTCTAAAAATGGGCAATTCTGGCAAAAGATGCGTGACCGCTGATTGCTGGGCTCTCAGAAACCCAGTGTCAAGTCAGGCACCCGCAGCTCACCTTAGCAATGGAGATGGTCTGCTGCTCCATGGCCTCGTGGATGGCCACGCGGTCATCCTCCCGCATCTTCCTACTTGGCAGTAGAAGTCATCAGAGAAGAGGGAAAAAAAAAAAAAAAAAAAAGCCATCATCAGCCACCTCTGCCAGACCTCAGCTACACACCCACTGATGCCAACCCCCGAGGTAAAGCTCTGTAAGGACCTCTGCCCAAGAGCGCAGGACATAATGAGAATTTCCCTGCAGCCCCATCCCCTGACCTTCCCCAAAAGAAAGCAAGGCAGCCTCTGGAGAATTGCCCTTTCTCCTGCACCTCCGGGCTCTCCCAGGAGAAGCTGGCAGCCCAAGGGCTCTCTTCCCTGCTCCCACGCAGGCAGCCCCACAGGTACCTTGTCGAACTCATCAATGCACACCACTCCCCCATCTGCCAGCACCATGGCTCCTCCTTCCATGAAGAAACTCCTGGAGGAAGGGTCGCGGATCACCGAGGCCGTCAAGCCAGCAGCGCTGCTGCCTTTCCCCGAAGTGTACACCTAGCAGCATGCAGGACAAGGAAGGGAACAGCAGGTCAGTCCTCGCAGGACCCAGGAGCCCACCGCTCCAGGAGGAGGACAAAGCACCCCCCAGCATCACAAAATCCAAAACTGCTGGAGGAAACACAAGGACCTCCAGGAAAACCCCTGAGCACATGCCAAAAGCAGACCTGCTGGGTACAGAGCAAGAGTATTGCCTAGTCCCAGGCCTTGCACTAAACAGCTGTGATGCACCGGAGGGCCTGCAGACACACAAATATAGGTATTAAGTACAGAACGGGGAGTGATTCATTGTTTGGTGCGCTACTGCATTAGCTTTGTTTTCCCCCCGAGGGAACAACGCAATCAGAGGCTGAGTTTAATAGAGACTACAAGAAAACACAGCTGAAAAAATAATTTCATGCCTGGCCTCAGCCTGGAGGTCCGTGCCTGAGATGCAGTCAACTTCATTTGTCCTGACCAGGCAACCTCTTCGCTGATCAAGTCTCCACAATAAACAACAGCATCAGTCACGTCTTTGGACATCTGCAAATAGCCTGGCTCATATCGTAATGAAAAGCATTACCTGTTTCCCCTTCCCTCCTTCATCCCCCAACCTGCACCCCATCTCTTCCAGGCTAGTGCCAGAAATTGCAGTTCGCACCTCTGCCAGCCAGTCTGGCTGTGGATGTGTGGGTTGGTATCTGCTGGGACCACGGTCTGGTGTTCGCCCCTCTGCCAGCCAGTCTGGCTGTGGATGTGTGGGTTGGTATCTGCTGGGACCACGGTCTGGTCTTCGGTGCCATGCAAGGAGCAGAAGGAAGAAAACGAGCCGCACTACAAGCGGGCACCTCAAACCACTTACCCCAATGGGCGAACACTTCTCAACAAACTTTAGCAGCTGGGATTTGGCCGTTCCGGGGTCACCCAGCATCAGTAAGTTGATGTCTCCTCTGCGTGTCAGCCCATCCGGGAGCCTGGAATGACAGGGTGGGAAGGAGAGAGGGTGAGCCTTTATTTTGATAACCAAGCATTGCTGACAAGCAGCAGGCAGCTGGTAGCACCACCAGAAGTCTGTACGAGGGCGTTGTGCCATGAATTACATCCCCACCACCACTCTCTCTCCACCAGGCTGACTTTTCCTCACCTCTTGCGAGAGCCTCCAAATAAGAGACAGGCAATGGCTTTCTTGATGTCGGTGCTGCCATAGATGGAGGGTGCGATGCTCTTGGCGATGGTCTCGTAGATGTTGGGCATGGCAGCAAGGCGACGAAGTTCCTCCTCTTCTTGAGGGGTCACCGAGCCAGCAAAGCTGTGTCCTGTACAGGAATGAGGAAAATGATGCAAAAGAGAACAAATGGATGTTTTAAAGGAAATGACACTACTCCCACCACACCCACTACCACCAAAATCCCTTCTTGAAGATCATGCCAAGTGTCACCAAGTGGGAAGGGTGGAGAGGGCAGGCATTTGCTATCCCAGCAAGGCAGGCTCTGTCCTTAGATGCTGCTAGGAAAAAGCAAGGATCTTGGGCAAAGCAGCTCTGGAGGAATCAGAGGGAGAATTACAGTCAGGACTGTATTTTAAATACGTAGCTCAATTTTAACCACCAGCTTCAGCCCAGATCCTCAGGGATGGCTTAGCAGATTCCCATTAAGATCAATAAGATAAAAGCACTTAAATACCCTGGAGGACTCAGGCTGAAGCCTCCTCATTTAATATCACAGAGAAAAAGTCATACAGGACACAGCCATAGAGCTTCCAGGACAAGTTAGACCCCTGGACTGGCTTGAACTTTCTGCTATATAAGCAGCAGAGAAGGACCCAGGCTGTGATTTCATACAGTCCTTGCTGAGGGACCATCCCAAGGGGGCTCCCCCAACACCAGGCTACCAACACAGACCAGATAAGACACCAAAAGCAGCCCTCACCTGAGCCCTCCACGTCCACCTGGATGCCCACCACGCGGATGTAAGCGCTTCGGATGCCCACGCCCACATTGTCACGGCTTCTGTTCTTGCTCTGGGCAGATTTCTTGATGGAGTAGATGCCCATGATAGTGACTCTGTTCCCTGGGACAACTCTGTCGCACAAGTACCTAAAAGGAAGAAAGGCAAAGTAGAGGATGGTAGTGGGGGAAAGGATGGCACCAGCAACACCCAGTGGGGTCAGGGTGGGGAGATCACACCGGTACCTGTCACAGTACAGCTGCAAGTGCCGGGGCATCTCCCCGTGCGGCACGGCATCCGGGGACTCCTGCAGCTTCAGGACCTGGAAGTCCACACACTTGCACTTATCTGGCATGATGAAATAGGGGTCCAGCGGGCACTTTGGGCGGCCGGCTTGTTCTCTGTGCAGAGAGTTCAATCAGGGAAGGGTGCTGGCAATCAAGAGCCACCCATGGGAGCCCCCCTGTAGAGGGGACAGCAGTGACAGAGCCCAGATAGCCACCCCTCCGAGCAGTGCCCACAAGGCGAGAAGGGCAGTCACACAAGGCTGAACCAAAGGCTCGCCAAGCCCTCTGTCTTGTGTTCAAAGCATACACGAGAACAAGCCAAAGACAGGGTGATACTCGTTTGAGTACTCTCTCTGCCTCCCCCCTCTCCCCTGCTAGCTAAAAGCACGGAGGAAGGTAATCAATTAACTACACAGAAGGTAACAGTATAGACTCAGAGACACGGCAGGGTATTTTTCTTTATAACCTCATGCACGAAGCAAATGTTAAGTGGTTTCTGGTGAGAAAGCAATTAGCAATGTGACAAGGCTGCCATCAACCTCCCAGTCCCTCGAGACGTGTTTGCCTTGCTAGACTACAAGCTCTCCGAGACAAGGAGAACCTCCGCATCCTGCTGCCGTCTCGGTACATCACTACCGATGCCTGACTCCATGCAGGGCTTTCGGGGAGGGTAACACGAGAGCACAGATGCACTCATGCAGCCAAAGATCAGGAGTGAGGTCCTGTACAGACCACACTGAAGAACAAACCCTATCCCAACGACCTCTCAAGCTGTATTAGAGATAAGGCACAGAAAATAAATACTGGCAGGCATGAGCTCAAAGACACAACCCACCAGGATCAGTTGGTGCGAGAGCTGCAGCACAGTGGCAGCCTAATGCTCACAGTTCGCACAGACATCAAGAGCTGTAAAGTAGGATTTGAAGGTTAGTAACAAAGCATCCCTATGGAAGGTAACGCAGAATAGCCCCCTGGGGAGGGAGAATGTGGAAACAAGAAGTTTATTCAAAAAAGATAAGAAGGTAGGACAGCAGCTTAACACAGCATTACGGGAGAGCTGGAGGCAGGAATGAACCCTTAGGTACAAGAGGCAAAACGCCCTAAGATAAAAGGACTCCCTGGACACGGACACTCAACACTGCTTGCAGCACTGGTCACGCAGCGTCACGACCTGTGTGACCACAGACAGACGGAGCAAAAACCTGCCAGCCACGGGTGTACGCAGGCACAAGGGCAACACAAAGGCAGGAGGCAGAGAGCAGCGCAGATACTTCTGCCTTGTGCAACAGGGATCCGACTTTGCAGCGGGTATGGGATGGAAGGGGAGCAGGAGAGGATGCAGTCTTTTTTTTTTTTCCCCCACCAGCCAGCCACATGCATCCCCATGTCAATCCTTACGTGTTGCACTTCCTGGGGAGAGCATAACCCTCCAGGCCTGGGCGCACCGCAATGTTGCTGATGGTGTTGCGGCAGCTGCGGCACTGGATGGCTATTCTGGTGGCTTTGGCTCTCACCGGGGTTGCTGCAATTACGATCCCAGGGATCTTCACAAGGTGAGACATCTGGTCAGACTGAAAGAGAAAAGGTGAAGGGAAGGTGAGAAAGACACCGGAGGACGGATGGGAAACTAAAGAAGTTAAAGAAACACAGTTCTTTTTTAGCTACACTTCCCACTTTCATAGGACTAAGGTATTTGAATAAAAAAAATGCACAATGTCACTCTTTTGCTCTACAGTAATAAAGGCATGTTGCATGACTTAAGATATGCTGATTTCAAAGTAAGAGAGAAAAGGACAAAATACTCCATGCAGAATATCGCTAACAGCAATAATGTCCCCACAGCAGGAACTAGCAATAACAGTCCTTTGCCGTCAGATTTAAGTTGCAAGTATCCCTGCTTGTAAATTAGCATACAACCCATCTCCTGAACTATGTGATCAAGTACCAAAAGCTTCCCTGCGATCACACCCACACACAAGCAAGCCCTGCTACTCGTTGCTCAGCACGGCAGCTAATTCACCTCACCTTCAGGCTGCGGATGTTGGCTGCGTTGGCATCCGATCTCAGCATCACCTGGATGTCTTGCAGAGTTTCCTCCCCTGAAGGACGAGGACGAGTGACCTCATCTGCAACTTCTTTTGCTGCTTCTTCCAACTACAAAGGGAAGAACCAGGCTATTATGGGTATGTTACAGTATATTGTCAGGGCTGCTCTCACGATGTGACAATATCGGTGCACCAGGTTACCAGCCTCCTCCATCCTTACCAGCTGCAGGTGCTCCGCTGGTTGCTTGTACAGGTAGTCAGCGAGATCTTCATCAAAGCTGGCCAAGTCTTCCATCTCCACCTCCACCCAGTACTGACTCAGGTTATAGTGCCGTTTAAGCTCATCCCTGGAAGGCAGTAAGCGGCAAAGGTTTGCAGGGCAGAAAGCACCAGTCACCCACAGTGACCTTATGACAAGCAGGGAGCAGAGAAGGCAGGTTCTGCAGGGAGTCCTTGGTTTGGAAGGCAAACGTGGAAAATCAGAAGAGTGCCAAGAGAAGTGTAGGGAGACCTGGGTAAATCTTTCACCAAAACTACTTTGAAAAGTAACATAAGACCAGGGACATCAGTGCTTACAGTGACAACATAAAGTATAGCACTAATTGTTTAGTAGAGTTCACAGACAGAGAGGCAATTAGAAAATGTCTATACAGGGTAATACCTATTATATCTAAAATATGGTTTAAAAAAAAGAAGTAATAGGACAGCAGGCAACATTCTCCTTAAAAAAGCCAGGGTCCATAAAATTCAGAGATGAAAGGTGAAAGATTGTCCCAGCCCTTGCATGATACATTGCCACGTTCTCTCATAGTTGTGTCTCCAAGCTGCATAGGCAAAGGGATGGCCAAGGGACCTTCACAGCCTCAGAAGGCACGCCTGGATGGTGCTGCACTGATTTTAGCAGATATAGACAAAACTGCAGACCATAAAGCACTAGAACTTGAAAACAGACCTTGAACTTCAGAACTAGGTGCGAGCTTGGCAGTATGGATCCCTCTATTGCTACCTCTGCCACTGGCTGGCTGCCTAAAAACTTGAGAAAACACCAGACCTCAGTTTTCCTATCAGGTTAACTGGGAACAACAACACGTCTTATACTGACAAAGGCCTCTTTACAGTCTATGGGAAGAGAAAAGCTGACGTGTGCTATTGTATATGTGGGGTGTGCATAGCAGGAGGGAGGTGCTGGATCCACAGTCCGGCTGTGCAAACAGGAGTGGGTAGGGCACAGAAAAGGGGTCCCAGCAGCACCTGTATTTGAAGGTGAAGCCCGTCCGGTCCGTGCCCACCCGGTACTGCCGCAGAAATTCCTTGAACCGCTTCTGCAGCTGCGACTTCCGAATCTGCCCCTCGTCCACCGAGGCATCGCCCCCAAAACTGTCGCTGTAGTAAATGCCGGGGTCGTCAAAGCCGGACATGGCGACGGCTGCTCCCCTGCGGGGGCGAGGGCGCACGGTCA